ACTAATCCCGATAATGATAATGTCAATTAAAATTGATAAATTACGAATGACTTGGGGTTGGATATTATATCTTAAGTCAACTTGTTTAGATTTTTAATGTATTTTTATACCACATCGTTGTGTTACTAAAGATGAAGGATAAGACATTGAATAGAAACAGAATTCTTAGAAAACCGCATTAAACTGGTGTGGATTCTTAACGCAACTGAAACCTGAGAAAAAAAAAACAACAAATCCGTGTGGATTTTTGGCGAAACAGAAGTCTGAAAGAAAAGAAAACAGCGATCCCTTGTGGATTCATAACTAAGTAGGAGTCTCATAAAAACACTATACATAGCTGTGGATTCTTAAAGGAACAGAAATCTAAGAAAAAAAAATCCGTGTGGATTTTTGACGAAACAGAAGTCTGAAAGAGAAGAAAAACAATGATCCCTTGTGGATTCATAACTAAGTAGGAGTCTCATAAGAACACTATACATCGCTGTGGATTCTTAAAGGAACAAAAGTCTGAAATAACATAGTAATCCAGTGTGGATTCATAATGAAGTAGAAGTCTACGAAAAACAAAGTAATCCAGTGTGGATTCTTAGTTAACGCGACAGAAGCCTGAAGAAAAAACAACAATAACTCAACGTGAATCTATAAAGGAACAAAAGTCTGAAAATAAAAGTACTCCGTTGTAGATTTATAGCGAAACAGAAGTCTGAACATAAAACGCAGTAATCCTAAGTGGATTCTAAACGACACCGCGGTGCCACATATCAATCAATTGAAACTCCTCAGATAACTCACAGATAGTATAGTCTAATATATTTCACTCGTCCTATTTTTAAACAGTATGTACGGGTGACCCAAAATGTCCGTCAGGCAACTGTTATTTTTTTTTAATTTCGCGCAAAGCTACACGAAGGCTATCTGCGCTAGCCGTCCCTAATTTAGCAGTGTAAGACTAGAGGGAAGGCAGCTAGTCATCGCCACCCACCACCAACTCTTGGGCTACTCTTTTACCAACGAATAGTGGGATTGACCGTCACATTATAACGCCCCCACGGCTGAAAGGGCGAGCATGTTTGGTGTGACGGGGATTCGAACCCGCGACCCTCAGTTTGCTAGTCGACTACCGTAACCACCTGACCATGCCGGGCCCCGTCAGGCAAAGGTTTTGCTCTTTGTTTGTGTTTGGGTGTTTGCGCAAGGCTACAAGGGCTGTCAGCGCTACATTCCTAATTTTAATCCAATATACTAGAGAGAGAAAGCTAGTCAACAGCACTCGCCGCCATTATTTGGGCTACTCTTCTCTAACCGCATAGTAGATATTTGACTGTCACATTTATTATGCATCTATGGCCCCAAATTGATTGTTGTTTGTTTGTAATGAAGCACAAAGCTACACAAAGGGCTATCTGTGCTCTGCCCACAACGGGTATCAAAACCCGGGTTCTAGCGTTGTAAGTCCGCAGACATACCGCTGTACCACTGGGGGGGGGCAAATTGAAGAGCGCAATTTTTTTGTGGTAACATGACGTGAACCCGCAGATTCTAAGCTAAACACAAGGCTGTTAACCTGCTTTATATTTTAAAACGATGGGTCTTAATATTTTGATTTACATATCAATTTAGTTCAACTATTTAGGGAACAAATATAATAGTTTAAATACCAACAACAAACAAAAACAGATATACTTCTGTATTTGAAGAAACCAATTACAGGGATTCTTGCATAGATTATAAAGTCTTGTTTATCATCCCAACACAAGTATCTGTAATTATAGCTATTTATAGCTATCCATATTTTTAATCTGTTGGGTCGTCAAGAAATTAATGTCGCGTTTTGGACCACTTTCATTAACCCCCCCCAAAAAAAAACAACAAAAAAAAACGTACGTCACGTGTAATAGTTAAACGAACCGCCTAAACGTCACGTTAGTGTAGCCTATATAATGTGTAAAGTTTAGTATACTATAATTCCTTATAGTGGTGGCAACACGACGAGACACACATTCGGCATGTAATGTTGTTTGAATACAAGAAGGGAAACAACGCCTCTGTAGCCATAAAGAATATCAAAGAAGTTTATGGAAATGTTTTGAACGTTCGTAAGTGTCAACGATGGTTCAGCAAATTTCGTTCAGGTGACTTTAGTCTTAAAAACTGTGATGGCAGGGGCTGACATGTTGGAATTAATATTCATGTTCTGAAGACGCTTGTTGAGTCTAACCCAAGGCAACACGCTCGTGAAATGGCTCTGAAATTGCATGTCTCTCATGAAACATTACGTAAACATCCAAGGAATGTGTGAAAATTCCATAAAGAAGGTGTTTGGGTGCCTCATGAATTCTCTGATGATCATCGTTTCCAACTTGTTAACGTTGCTTCGTCTCTTCTGGCGCGTAATGCGCGTGAACCATTTTTCGACAGATTTGTCACTGGTTATGAAAAATGGATTCTCTATTGAATATTAAATGCCAAAAACAATGGCTCAGTCTAGACAAAAACCACTTCCGGCCCCAAAACCTGGACTCCATCCACAGAAAGTGATGCTTTGCATTTGGTGGACATCAAAGGAGTAATTCACTTCGAACTCCTCAATCCACAGCGAGCTGTCA